TCCAGCCTTTGCTTATCAATGGAGATCGAGTGGAGCAAGTGGCCAGTTTTAAGTTTCTGGGTGTTACCCTAAAAGAGGACCTGACCTGGGGTGCTCACATTGCAGAGCTGGTCAAAAGGGCCCAGCAGAGATTATACTATGACTTCTCAGGAAACAACAACTTCCCAAGACTTCTCAGGAAACAACTGAATGAAAAACTGCTAGTGACTTTCTACCACTGCACCATAGAGAGTGTCACATCCCCATGGCATGCTGGAGCTGTGACACCAAGCGTTTCGCTGCGTCTGAGTATTCTACCGCGGTAGGAAGCACCTGCTGGCTGACCAACACCAGGTCGGAATTGCCGATGGAGATGGACAACGAGCCCCGATAATGTCAGACGCTGAACTATCACAAGTTGCAGGCAACTATTGGCAGAGCGATGAACATGCTGACCATTCAAACAATGACCTCGGGTGGTGAATATACACTGGGAGGGCACAGGGGAGTTGGTGGAATATGGAAAGTGTGCTGTGGCGAGGAGATGGTAAAGGAGGGTGGATAATTAACAGTAGAATGCACGGTATCGAGGGGTACATAGTGACCGGAAATTAAGCAGTAGCGGTCATGGTGGATAAACCCTTTGCGTTATTATCTGGTGGATAAATACAGCTCTGGCTGCGAGATGCACCAGAGCTGACTTTACTATCATTTATGATGCTTGTTGTTACCCGAACCCAGAACAATATATGGACGAATAAAGACTTTTCAACTTGCCTAGGAGCTTTATTTCCTTTTCTTTCTGGACTTCAGCTGAACAGCTGAGAGAGAGTATCTTAACTTACTGCACCTGTGTATGGTTTGCCAATTGCACAGTGACAGATAGGACAGCACTCCAGAGGGTTAACGTCATTGCCCAGGGTTAACGTCATTGTCATTGCATCATTGGTTGCCCTCTCCCCTCTTTGGAAGAGCTTTATAGCTCCCACTGCCTTAAGAAAGTTCAAAACATTCTCAAAGATCCATCTCATTCTCGGCACCCTTTTTTTGAACTATTACCATCTGGCAGACAGTACAGGATAATAAAAACAAGGACAAATAGATTGAAAAACAGCTTCTATCCTAGGGCAGTTAACTCTACTGAATTCTACTGTATAGTGTAATATTAATGCAATAACAGGGGTTTTCAATTCAACGCGAAGGATGTGTGTTTGTGTTTATTTTCATAGTCATAATATACACTGAAGGTGGTATTTAATTTCATTGTATGAGGTTCAATGACAATAAACTAAATTAAATTAAACTTATGAGAACAATTTCCTTTCAGAATCTCATACCTCCTTTCAGCTCCTGATGGGCAAGGATATTTAACAAACATTTGACAAGTTGGGTGCTTTGCAAGGTATTTGTTTCCACATCATGCTTTTCTTTTGTTTCTTTTAATATTTCCACATAGCTTCCACAACAAGAGTCACTTCCTACTTTATCACATTTGCCAATGATTGCCTTAAGCTAAGTTTCTTTCATCTTGGCTATGACAACATACAGAGTCCCATGACTTGCTGACAGTACATCACACCACCAGAGGTTTTTCTTTTGATCTGAATTACTGAGTGAGAAACAATGTATAGTGTGCAGCTGATACTCACTATAAGTGTGTTTTTGAGTGTGCAAATATTTTAAATTATCCTATTCTTAGGAACTTGCTTAGATCTTTTGAAAGAAAAAGCAAGGTCAAATTATCTGTTATGGAGTCCATTCATAATTCTTCTAATGTGATCAACAGTAATGGAGCTGGAAGGGGAGATGTTTGAATAGTGCTGTTTTAAATATCTTGTAAGGGTGTCCAATTATCTTCAAGAATGAAGGTTCTCGACATTAATTTCAAATTAAACCAATACAATATCCAAAATGGCTGGCATTTCATAAGATCACTCAATATTTGTTAGATTTATTTACAACTTTTTCTCCAGGAGGCAACTGATAAGGGGTCTTATTTTATCCCACAACTCCCTATGGTAAGTTGGGCTGAGAGGTTAGTCAGTAAATTTCCATGGTCGACAATGGACTTGAATCTGGTTCTTTCCAGTTCAGGTCCAAACATTTGAAATATTTGATGGTACATGATGGTAGCCTGAGAAAGCTGTCAACCTTTATGTATATGGGATAGGTGAATTTTCCTTTAATCTGCTTAACCTTTTAAGGCCCCTAAGGCAATAGCTAACATAACACGATTGTGGCAATGAATTTCATATCTATCCATGTATCATGTATGAGTGGATTAAAATTTTCCAAATAGTGCAAAGATGAAGTACACCCATGCACAAATATATTTAATATGCAACCTGAGCAGATTAGGACATGGCTATAGCTATTCAAATGTTGATCATATAAGAATTAGCCGACTATACATTGACTTGTAATTAGTATACTGTCTTATTTTAACTCTGCTTTTAAATGACCTTTTTCAAATAATAAGTTTTCCTTCAAAGTAAACTTCTTTGACAATTTTCTTTGATGAAAAAATAAGATCTAAATCAAATAAATTTACTAAAAGTACAGGTAGTCCTAGACTTATAACAGTTCATTTAACAGTTCAAAGTTGGAAAGGCACTGAAAAAGTGACTTATGGCCATTTTCACACTTACAACTGTTGCAGTATCCCCATGGTCATGCAATCAATATTCAGATGCTTGGCAACTGATTCATATTTATGATGGTTGCAGTGTCCCAGGTCATGTGATTACCTTTGGCAACCTTCTGATGAAGTCATTAGGGAAGCTAGTTTCACTTAACAACTGTGTTACTAATTGCAGTGATTCACTTAACAAATGTGGCAAGAAATGTTGTAAAATGGGGCAAAACTCACTTAACAAATGTCTCACTTAGCAACAAAAATGTTGGGCTCAATTGTGTTCATAAGCCAAGGACTATCTGTATTGTCAATCAATTGCAATCCAATTGAAAAGAATTTTAGCTAGCAGAAATGTTAAAAATTCAGGAGGAACAGAATAACAGAAAAGTAAAATGCCACCCAAATGGTATAAAAAGTATAGCTTTCATAAGAGGTTTCATAGCACCAGGATTAAATTAAATGTGAGCACAAAAATATGCTGTCACATTTTTATAATTATAAGCTTATGAATAGCAATGAGGAACAAGCTTTATTGCTCATACTATTTTCTTGCAGAGTATCTTGCAGAGGGTGTTTGAAAAAACTTTGTGTGGAGGTGAGGTAAAGACTCCTTCACCTCCATACAAAGTTTGCTCAAACACCATTCCAAGATGACACTCTGCAAGAAAATAGTACGAGCAATAAAATTTGCTCCTCATCGCTATTTGTAAGCTTATAATTATAAAAATGTGGCAGCATATTTTTGTGCTCACATCTAATTTAATTTAAGGCAGGTAGTAACAGTAGCAGCTCTTGCTATTTTCATAATTCCCTAAGATTGGAATGTAATAAACACATAGTTCTCATGCTACTTGGTTTAACTCTTGGTGGACTTCCAACTTGAGAAATTTTTTATAGCAAAACCATAATAAAAAGCATAGCATAAACTAAAAGAAATAAAACAACCAAGGAAAAGATGAAGTTTGAATAAATATTTAGGAGATAAAAGACAATTTTTGCGTAACTGAAGATCATGCTATATTAAAAGTGTGAAATCTACACAATAATTACATATTTTACAGCGATATAGTGTATATCATTTCATAGTGCATATAGTCATGTACTTTTTAGCATATAAACAAAAAAAAAAATTATCCACAGGGAAAGGACAAAACTAAGATGATACCATGGGTGGGACTAATGCAAGCAAAAAGTAAACGCTTCTTTCAAATCCTCCCCTCAGATGCTTTTCTTCCTGGAGAGTCCTGTCCATAACTCTAAATTGTTTTGGTATCAAGAAAACAATTGTGATGTAACAGTTAATATGTAGACTGGGAAAAGCAAAATAGAGTCTTTACCCAGCCATTTTTCACTGGGTAACCTTAGGCCTGTTGCTCTCACACACAGTGTGAATGTGAAGATAAAAAAGATGGATTCTTTAAAATGTTTACTTTAAGCTTGCAAAGGAAAGTGGGATGAACATATTATTTCCACCTGTCAGTCAAATGTAGGGCTTCCAGAAATCATGCATTTTATGAGTCTAAAACTCCAAATTAGGAAAAAAGCAGATCCAGAAAAATGTATCTCTTTCTCTGAGATGCTAAGAAACCCCAATGGGATAATTGTATCTCTTCTTACAACTTGTTTCTATTGTTTTTTTTACAACACCATGGACCATAGCCTATGTTTTTTCCCCACACCCCTAAAATAGATAACAGATAACAGATAATCAGAGTCGGAAGGGACCTTGTAGGTCATCTAGTCCAACCCCCTGCACAGTGAGCATGATATTGCATCTTCTCTTGGTATAAAATTGATCCCTTTTCTACAGACGGCATTTCTACCTGTGTTTGATATTAGAGATTACTCAATACATATGGAATATTACTGTTGAAGCAGCAAATCAGTACAACAATGTTGTGACATCCACAAAGTGTGGGATGGGGGAAGAGAAGGAAATGCTTAGCAATTTCATGGTTGTGGTCATGTTGTTCTTGCTCCAAGTTACCTTCATTAGATCACTTTGTTATGAAACAGAGCTCAACAAGCAAGAAAAGCAGAGGGATTTTCATGGGGAGGAAAGATAAACAAAGGAGGGACTTGAGAGAAGACAATGGCTGTTGAGAAACATTAAGTACTGTAAATCTTCTTGGACCTTCTCAAAACTCTGTCATGCAACTTTGTCGACACTTCAGTACAAATTGAAACAGAACCCCAGCAGCATCTAATAGCAAATAATAATCACCCCAACCACCTGCCTTCAAATATTTAAGGCTGCAAATCCTGAAGATGTACAATTCACATTTAAATAGAATAATCATAGAATAACCAGATCACAGATAATCTTTAAGCACAGAAAAGCTTTTGCCAATCATAAAATCAACCATAAATCCAGACAACTACTCACCTTCCCCATGACTTTTCCTGAATTTTTGCAGGTCAACTGTTGGAGGCCTGTTAGGCTTCTGTGGGGCTGGTCCCAATATCATTGTTGAAGGTAGTGTTTTTCGTCTGGGCAAATTTTTGTCTTTGTCTTTCTCTTCTTTTCCAGTATTATTGGCCCAAGGTCCTGTCGTAACTGTTCGAGATGAATTGGCGAGTATAGCAGCAATGGCACCAGAAGCAGATCCAGACTCCTCTTGTTTGTTTTGTAGGAAAATATTCTTGATGGGTTTTGGTTTTGCCTCTTCATTCTGCTGCCCAACAGGTTTAGGGGGGATTTGAGGCAGGTTGTTCTGGTGGTTGACATGTTTCAAAGGTGGGAAAGGGTTGATGGGGTTAGTTTCATTTCTACTCTTGTCCTGTGGATCTTTGAGGGGTTGGATGGAACCAGCTTTCGACTTGAGGCCGCTGGAATTTGGTGACACCTGATTGAAACAAGCACTTTTGTTGGAAACCTCTTCACCGTGGGTGAAACTCTGACTTGGTTTGTGCTTAACAGGTGGCTTTGGAAAAGGAGGCTTGGAGTTGTTTTCCTGTGCAGCACTGTTGAATTTTTCTTTAACTCCAGCGACCGTGGGAAACACAGGCTTTGCTTCACTTCCTTGGGGTTCAGGTTTGAACCATCTCTGATCTAAAGGCTTTATTTCACTCTTCTGAGGAGGAGAACCAGGTAGTTTCTTCTCAGGAATCTTTGGGAACACTGGCTTAGTTTCTTCTCTTAGTCCTTCAGAAATCTTGGGAACCAAAGGCTTTGGATAGGTAGTTTTTTCATTAGCTTCTCGGCTAGCAGCCTCGGCTAGCATCTTCACTTTGCTGGCCACAGGGCTGCTTTGCAAAGGTGGCCCTTTAAAATCCTTGCCAGATGCATCATGAAGAGGTTTTGTGCTCGGAGGCGATTTAAGCGATGTAGGCTTGTACAAACTGTTGGGTTTGGAAGACAGACTAGCATTTTCAAGCTGGGCGAACTTCTCAAAGGCTGCTTTTTTAGCCAAAGGAGGGTGGCCCCCACTTCTGACCTGATGGCAATGAACATCCTCAGCTGCGTTGTTATTAAACTTCGCCATGATGGACTTCACATTTGCCTTGCCATCCTGCAAAGTAGAAAGAAAGCAGTCAGGAAGGTTCTTTTGCAGCCGCGTTCACCAACGCTGCAGCTAATTTGAAGGCTTTCCTGGTTTGAGGCTTCTGATCTCCGGTTAGAGATAACTCAGTGTTTAGCTTCCTGTATGGCTAACAGCGTTCAACTTTTTGCTACACACTTGTGGTGGTTAAAGGATTTCAAGACGTTGCAGACAAGTGTTGCTTTGCTGACTACATCTTTCCTTGCCTTGCCTACCATAATGTCTCTCTCTTCCTGTTATATTTGCGGAACATGCTATTGATAGTTAAATTCTGAAACATATACACCACTGTTTAGACTAAAGCCAAGACATCTGATATATTTTCCCAAGACTTGCACCATTTAGTAAGAGAAGAATAAACTAAATCTTAGGCCTGCTTTGACAAAAATGTAAAGTCCCCCCTCCCCCCAAAAAAGCTCCAAAATTTCAGGTATAACCTTCCAAGGAGGAAGCAGAAGGAAGGCATCCTCAGTTGTTCCTTTAATTTAAAATAAATACTATACACAATAGCAAACTGGTTCTTTTTTCATGCTGGAACGGCCCTTTCAACTGTGGAATTGCTAATGGTAGGAATCCAATATATTAGCATGAACCTAAACATGTCAGAAAAAGCAATGAAGACATGGCTGGTGCAGTTTTCTGGTGGCTCAAAGACACATATAGTACGATGGCTGACATAAAATGTCCACATGCACATTTTGTAGCCTTTTCTCCTGAAACATTTTGCCCAACGGTATATAGAAAGTATAATATACAATAAATGGGAAGTTGGACTAAAATTAAAAAAAACCCCAAAGAGAACTGCCATTGGAGTTGTCATTGCCTTTGTCATTGGAGCTAAGGGGATTGGACTTTGAGCTACTTGATGCCTGGGATGACTTTGAAGTCTTTTATCTTTCTTCCTTTGTCTTATGACTGAGAGTATCCATGTTTCTTTACACCGGGAATTGAGAGACAGTTTAGTGTAGTAGTGGCTAAGGCAGGGGTATCAAACTCAATTTCATTGAGGGCCGCATCAGGGTTGTGTTTGACTTTGGGGGCCAGGGTGGGTGTGGCTAGGGTGGGTGTGGCCAACTTGACGTCACTCGTGTTGGGGGCGCCTGTGGTGGACCGAGCACTCTGCCAGCGAAAACGGATTCCCAAGCTCCATTTTTGGCTGGGATGGCCTCCTGCAACCCTCTGCCTGCGAAAATGGAGCTCAGGAGGGATGGCCTGGCCTGGCCTTTGCAAGCTTGGTTTTTGCTGACAGAGACACCAGAGGCCAGTCCTTTGCTGTTTCCAGCGTGGCCCATCTTGAGTTTGACCTGGACTAAGGCATCAGGCTAGAAATCAGGAGAGTATAGTCCCAAAGTCATTTGGGTGACATGAGACCAGATATTTTCTCTCAGCCCTAGGAAAGAAGCAATGGCAAACCGTTTCTGAAAAAATATTGCCAAAAGAACTGCAGGGACCTGTCCAGGTAGTCTCCAAGAATCAGATATAGTTGAACAGAAGGAAAAAAAAAAAAGGGGGGGGGGGTGATAGGAAATAAAGGAGAAGTGACCACCTTTCAAAATTTACAGAATTTCTACATAAAAAGAAACATTAATGAAGATAGAACTCAGCATTCTACTGTTACATCGCACCCTTTTCTATATTTTTGGATACAGCATTTGCTTCCTGGATAACTCTTAAAATAATATAATTTACAACAACGTGCCATGTTGCAAATGGTTTGTTAAAGCAGAATTCACAAAAATCCCATAACACAATATAAAGGAGTCTTGGGGATCTGGCTAGAACTATTGGAATATTTACAAAATGTATAATACTGCCCAACTCATAACAACTCTACAGGTTACAGATTCCTAATCTCCGTTCTAAGACCTAAACCTCATGGCTGACTGAAAAATAATATGCCATATACCTTTAAAAGTGCAGGTTGTTCTCCAGAGAGTTTCCATTTCCTTTACTACTGTCTCCTCCCCTACCATGCCACATTTTTTTGTTTTTTTTTGCTGAAGTAGTGGAGTTAGGTTTGAAATATCTTGCACTTTCACGCTTACTCCACATTTCAGTAAGTCGTTTGTGGTATAGTAAAAACCTCTAAAGTTGAACTGCTTCAGAAAATGAGCTATAATCAAAAGTCTTCCTCAGTACTCCTCTGCAGGAACTATCTAAATCAGGGGTCTCCAACCTTGGCAACTTTAAGATCTGTGGACTTCAACTCCCAGAATTCCCCAGCCAGTATGACTGGCTGGGGAATTCTGGGAGTTGAAGTCCACAAATTTTAAAGTTGCCAAGGTTGGACACCTCTGATCTAAATGTAAATATGAGCTCTGATTGTAGGCGCATTCCAGAAAGATGAGCAAAGAGCTGAGGTATAAGATCTGAAGAGGATAGATCTGGATTTTTCCCCCTTTGAGGAAGTGTAATCTAAAATGATAATGGAGACAAGACTTTCGATTGCAGTCCTCCCATGGAAAGCATTGCATCCAAGATTAGGCTGTTGGGGTTTTTTTTGTTTTTTGTTTGGAAGGCCAACTGTTGTGGCTATTCAAGAGGCCATAGAAGCAGATTGGCTAGATTTCCCATTTGAGAATTGATTTTATGTGTTGCTATTCCTCTTGGCATAGTCTATTACAGAGGTCTCCAAACTTGGCAACTTTAAGACTTGTGGACTTCAACTCCCAGAATTCTCCAGCCAGCATTAGTCTTAAAGTTGCTAAGTTTGGGCACCCCTGGTCTATTGCAATGATTTTCTTTTTTTGTAATTGCTTTTGTTGTTCCTATGAATTAATCTTACCCTACAAGGGCATGTGGGCCACTCAGAATTTCATATGTAAGTCCTAATAGCAAATCAACCAACCCAGCAAAGAAATAGGATTCTTCATCTCAAAGGTTCACACCTTTGATTCCTCAGCTTATGACCATAATTGCGATCAGAATATCCATTGCTGTTAAGCGAATCATGCCCAATTTTATCATCTTTTGTTTTGCCATGGTTGTAAAGCAAATCACTGCAGTTAAGTGAATCATGTGGTTGTTATGCAAAGTCAGTTTCCTCCATTGACTTTGCTTGTTGGAAACCAGCTGGGAAGGTTGCAAATGGCAATTACATGACGCCAGAATGCTGCAATCATTGTAAATTCCCAGTTCTCAAGTGCCTGAATTCTGATCACAAGGCAATGGGGATACTGCAACAATTGTAAGTGAGAGGACCAGTTGTAAGTTACTTTTTTAATGCCACTGTAACTTCAAATGGTCACTAAATGAATGGTTGTAATTCAAGGACTACCTGTATAAGATAGTTCTAGTAGTGTACTCAATGATCGGGACAAAGTCAGTGGTGCACCATCAGGCTTATGCAGTGGTGGGATTCAATTTTTTTTACTACCGGTTCTGTGGGCGTGGCAAGGAAAGGATACTGTAAAATCTCCAGTCAGAGGTGGCATTTGCTGGTTCTCCGAACTACTCAAAATTTTTGCTACCAGTTCTCCAGACAGATCCTGCTGAATATCATCTCTGGGCTCATGGCTTTCTCTAGTATATATATAATAGCCCATAACTCTTCTATGTAATACATTTGGTTTCCTGGAGTTATTACAAAATCCATCTGGTGTAACATTAGAGAAAACAACAAAAGAATATTTGTAGCTCAAGGTTGAAATGAGGTGCTCTCTGAGCTTGCTTGTTTTCTTGCAGACGTTTCATTACCCTAACTAGGTAACATAATCAGTGCTAGTAAGGAGTGCTGTTTGCTGTCAGTTTATCTTCTGGTGGGGATGGTTTCAGAGATTCTTTGTTTGGGCTGTTTACTGATAGTTCTTTGGCAGTTTCTTGATTGGGGTATTGCTTACTTGATTGTTGGTCTGAAGTTAACCTTGGAGTTAATCTATGTTGATCTGGGTGCTGATTACTATTGGAGAGAGTCTTTTTCTCTTTGGGGCTGGTTGATTGTCTCTTTTGCATAGTCTGTAGATGTTGTTAATGCTTAAGTGTCTATTGATGGCTGATTTGTCAGAATTCTGGAAATTCCGTGGAATTTTTGGACTTGGCCTGGTCTAGGATTGTCACATTTTCCCCAATTGAAACTATAGTTAAATCTGTCTACATGTTGTGAAATTACAAGAACGTTCATCATGTCTTCTGACTGCTTATTGGTGTTAAGGGATGCATTCTGCTGCTAGTGTTCTGCCTGTCCTACATAATGGTTGTTGCAGTTCTTACATTTTATGTGGTAAATGACTCCTGTTTTTTATTTTTATTTCTGAGGTTGCTGGGTCTTTTGGTTTGCTTAGGATGTTCTGAAGGGCTTTAGTTGGCTTGTGTGCTGTGCCGATTCCATGTGGTTGCAGTAGTCTGTCGGTGGTTTCTGAGATATTCTTGATCTATGATAGTGTAATTCTTTTTAGGGTTTGTGTTAATTATGCTGCATTGGGTTGAATGGTCAGGGACTTTTTGATAATGTTGCTTGGGTATCCATTTTGTTGGAATGTGTTGTATAGAAGGGGTGGGCTTCAAAAATTTTAGCAATGGGTTCTGTTATGTTGCTGAGTGAGAAATTTGTTAAGTGAGTTTTGCCTCTTTTTATGATTTCTCTTGCCACCTTTCTTAAGTGAATCACTGCTGCTGTTAAATTAGTAACATGGTCATTAAGTGAATCTGGCTTCCCCATTGTCTTTATTTGTCAGAAGGTCGCAAAAGTTCATCACATGATCCCTGTACCAGAGGTGGCATTCAGCAGGTTCTGACCAGTTCTGGAGAACTGGTAGCGGAAATTTTGATTAGTTCAGAGAACCGGCAAATCCCACCTCTGACTGGAGATTTTACAGTATCCTTCCCCTGCCACGCTCACCAAGCCATCCCACCAAGTCACACCATGCCTACCAAGCCACGCCCACAGAACTGGTAATAAAAAATATTGAATCCCGCCACTGCCCTGGACATTACAACTGTCATAAATATGATCCAGTTGTCAGGCATCCAAA